AAACCCTACCTAGCTAACCCGTTTTTAGGATGCCCACTAGTAGGAATGGGTACTAATACCCGTTTTTCAGGGTAACCAGGTCGGGTATACCCGGACCCGCCAGGCGGGTATTGTATTACCTGTCCCTTAAGACCGGGTCCGGGTAAGGGTCCTGGGCATATTACCCGACCCGGACCCGACCCAAAAATACCCGACCCGAGGTCGGGTATTGCAAAACCGGGTCGGGTCGGGTAATAACCCGGCTTTGCTCAACCCTACCCAATTGTACCGCAGACGAGAGTACCTGAAGTCGTACAGCAACAGATCTCCAGATTTGCACGATTTCCATCACCGCTGCCCCGTTGCCTTGCTGGCCCCACGGCCCCATTCCTTAGCGCCTAGCCGCCCGTGGCCCCACGGCCCCGTTCCTTAGCGCCTAGCCGCCCGTGGCCCCGCGGCCCCGTCACCTAGCGCCTAGCCCCCACGGCCCCGTCACCAAGCTCCCAGCCGCCCGTGACCCCATTGCCCCGTCACCCAGCGCCTAACCGCCCCGCTGGCCCCATGGCCTCCTCACCTAGCACCTAGGTGCCCGCGGCCCCGTTGCCCCGCCACCTAGCGCCTAGCCGCCCCGCTGGCCCCGCGGCCCCGGCACCTAGCACCCAGCCGCCCGTGGCCCTGTCGCCCCGTCACCCAGCGCCTAGCCGCCCTGCTGGCCCTGTGGCCGCGTCGCCCCTAGCGTAGCCACCCTGCCGCCCCCTCGCCTAGCCGCCCCGTCGCCTAGCCGCCCCGACGCCTAGCCGCCCCGTCGCCTAGCTGCCCTGTGGCCCCGTAGCCCAGCCGCCCCGCGGCCTCGTCGTCCAGCCGCCCCGCGGCCCCGTCACCCCACTGCTTGTCAAACACCACCAACCCTCGCCCTGGACCAAACCCTAACACTCCCAAGTGCCACATCTGCAACATCAAAGATGTTGTAGTTGGTTTGGGGTTGTATGGGTTGGAAAGGTAACGAGATCAAACCTAGCCAACCAACCCACATCTTTTGCCCAAATCCCAATAGCCCACAACCAGCTAGAGAAAACTACACCACAGAACACTACACATTTATCAAGCGGGGCCCGTGGGGCGGCTAGGCGCTAAGCGACGGGGCAGGCTAGGACCTAAGGCGAAAGTGCGGGTGGGCGGGGGGGACCTAACCTACTCATGATACCATCTCAGAGTTAGAAGTGTTGACTAGAATGAGAGGATACAGGGGTATATAGCTAGTGGGTTGTACTCTCTATGGCAAGACCCTATGTAGTCTACTAAACATACACAAATATGTTTGACAATTATGACCGTGCTGACCTCGGGATGCTAGAACACCTCGTCCGTTGCATCCGCATCACCCACCCTGATAGGATTAAAACACTGGATAACTGAGTTTGTGGTATTGTCTGTGTGCTCCCCCCTGATACGGTCTGCTTCTCTTTTGCCATGGAACCTGACTTAAACCCTCGCACCTGCAGTGTAAATAACTCCCTTCCCCCCTTTCCCCCCAAACTGTCTGCCACGTTTCCAGAGTCTCTAGCCCTCCCTTCCCCTTCCACGCATCCCTCCTCTCTAGCCCGTCGACAGAGTCTCATCCCTCCCCTCTCCCACTTCTATAGTTACATACCTTCCCTCTCCCATCTCTGAACGCTCTAAAGTTGATTCTACAAGTAGAAAACCAAAATTCGTACTGGGTGGGAAACAAAAGGACCAAAGGAACCAATCAGAAATATGATAGAAGCTCAGCTAGCAGATATAATAACAGATACCGTAATTACCAGGACAGACGCCCCTAGGGGCGTTTATGAGACTGGTTTGAAAACATGGGGGGAGGGAGTTTAATTGAATAAAAAATATACGCCCATGGGCGTTTTAAAGGGATTATATGGAAATTTTACGTTTGACATTAAAACGTAGCTGCTGGTCAGGCCTGTCGTTATCAGGGTATTTTACTCTGATTCCCTTATTTCACAGGGTATTTTTTCGGCCAACCCTTAATTTTCAGGGTTGGACTTTTCTTAACCCTAGCCCCTTCAGGGTTGTAAGTTTATTGAATACTTGGGATTTCAGGGATTGCGTTATGCCAATACTGAGTTTTCAGGGAGCAACGCGTACGAACCATGAGTGCGATATTCATGTGCCTCACAGCCCTGAAATTTCGGCGATGTCCCCAATCTCTAGAAACATTACCCCCACACACACAGCAACCTACAAAATTTGGCCAAGTCCTAATTGTACAGACATTCCCCCTACACACCCCACAATAATCGACAAATATCGGCTAAGTCCTATGGTAGACATTCCCCCTACACCCGCAACAACCCACAAATAGTCGGCTAAGTCCTAGTAGCCAGAGTAGCACTCTCCTCAACAAAAAATTGTCTAAGTCCTCGTGTACAGACAGACATTCCCCCTCCCACGCTCTCGCAGACATCCCCCTCGATATCGATCACCCCCTCACCTCCGTTTTGATCCTCGTGCCCCCTCGGTTTCGCTTACCCGCTACGTTTAGCCAAACTGTTGTTTTCTAGCAGCATTGGTTCATTTCGTAATTTCCCCCAGGCCCCCAGTTCCCAAAAAAAAATCCACCAAACTTTGACGGTCACGATCGAACGCGATCGTTTCGACGTTTCTCAGCTGTTCATAATTGGTCAGTCATTAACGGCTCATATTTGCGCGACCTGAGCTTTTTTTTTTGCTAGCTCAGACGATTTGGGCCCATCTGGAAAAACCCTTGTAAAACCAGAGCCGAGCCAAACATAACCCCAGCTTCCAGCAAGGCAGTTCTCGAATGTACCGGGCTTTGAGAGGTGTGGGGCGAGATTTGGGCGAGGGAATTGGGGAGGGCGGCGAGTTTGGGCGGGGGCAAAAGTTGAGGCCATAACAAAAGGGGATTGGAAGTGTTTGGTGGGAATTCGAATTCCAGGAAATTCTCGACCGGTCTTGAATTCGACTCTGATTGTGTGAAGTCTTGATAGGCAGTGACAGCACAAAAAAAATCGGCTTAGTCCTATTGTACACAAGTGCCCCCTCCCACACTCCCACAACCCATCAAAAAGGCTAATGGTCAAGTCATTAGTATGAAGAAGGTACCGTAGGTTTCGCAGCTGGCAATGTACCTAGCCCTAAATTTCAAGGGTACTAGTGACAATGCTCCCTTCTTAAGGAAACTTTTGTTATTGCCCGTGTGGTCAACAGGGTCCTCCTTAGCAGACAAAATCCGTCTGATTGTCTTATTTTCAGACGTGATTTTTCGGTTTCTTCTGATTTTTTCAGACGTCCAAAAATAGAAATTCTGATGCCTTAGAAATTGAATTTTAGTACTTCTGATTTTCCAGGAACTATGTGCTTGTTCTTCTGACGTTTCAGACTTAGCGATTCTGCTCGTCTGCGAGCAGTTGCTGTATACAGCCCCCCTCTAGGCTGTGTGAGGGGCTAATTCGCCCTTCACCAAATTACCATGTCATGTGCGCTGGAGGGCGAGTGTCTGGGCTCATTGGCCCTTCACCAAAATCCCGTGCCGTGTGTGCTGTGTGCTGGAGGGCGAGTGACTGAGCCATGTGTGTTGGAGGGTGTGTGAGGGCGCTGATTGGCCCTTCGTGTAGGGAAAATCGAATCAAAGGGATGTGCTGTTGGCTGTGCGAGGGCGTCCTCGTAACCACAACAGCCCAACCCCCCCCCACCACCCCCCCCCCCGCACCCACCCCACCCCCCCACAACTTGTACTTGCACGGGTCTTTTGGAGGGCAGGATTCCCCTTCCCCGCCCCTGCTATGTCGAATCTCCCCACCACCCCCAGCTCGATTTCCCCCCCCCCCCCCCCCCCCCCCCTCTGCAATCTCGGTTTTCCCGCCCCTGAAATCTCTCAATTCTTCCCCAACCTCGGCCCGCCCGTGTCCTGATTTCGCCCAGCACGAGCAAATTCGTGTTTTTCTCGCCACACGTTTCACTCGAACGCGCCCCACCCATCTGCCTAATGACCATAGGGCATTCAGAAATTCAACTTGGAAATGTTTGTTTCCCCCTGTCGCATGTGAATTCACTGCAGCTAAACTGGAGTGTGACGATCATAAATTTTGCAAGGTTTCATCTAATTTTTCAGAAATCGGTCATCATTTCGTCTGGGAAATCACAAAAGGAAAATCCATACGTCTGATCATCAGAAAGTGAAAAAAGCCTAGGGAGGACCCTGGTGGTCAACTGAAAGTCCATCAAACTTTGACGGCCACGATCAATCGCGAACGTTTCGATAAATTTCAGCCGTTAGATGATCGCGTATGATTAACGACCTCGATTCGTCCATGGCGCTGCAAGCGCGGGAGGTTTCTGCCACTGCCCCATTCGCCTCGATCCCCACCTCTCCCTCCGTTTCGCTTCCCCCCTCCCCTCCTTTTCGATCCCCCCTTCCCCTCCGTTTCGCTTCTCCCATTCCTCTACTGTATTTCGAACCCCCCGCCCCCCCCCCCCTTTTTTCCCTCCCCGTTTCGCTTCCTCTCTTCCCCTATGTTTCCATCCTCCCCCTCCCCTCCGTTTCGCTCTCCCCCTCCCCTTGGTTTGATTCCCTCCCCTTTTTCCCCTCATTTTTAATTCCCCTCTCGTGTTGAAGGCAACCCTGAACGCGTTCGGTGAACCCTGGGATTTTCAGGGTTCCAGATTTCTTAACACTTACAAATCAGGGTAGGCAATTTTTGAACACTGAGCCCTCAGGGTTTTTTTTTTTTTTAGTCGACAGCTCAGGGGGAGTTTTTTTGAAACGTCAGGCCTGCTGCTGGTCTGACTTGTGCAATGGGAGTAATTTTAGCAAGGATTCATGAGTCAATCGTGCTGGAAGTCCAGCGGCAAGGTGCCAGGCTGGAAACTCGCCGTTCTGACACGAATCGTGCTGGCGCGAAGTGTTAGAGAGGGCGAGTTCCGCTTCTGGCGGGCACGAAGCTAGAAACCTCGGTACTACCTGGATCCGCTTCGTCGTTTTGCGCAGTGTTTCAAGAGAAATTATGGGGGGGCTTATAGGAAGCAGGTTTTGAGAAATGAAGGGGGGCCTATAATCGAATAATGCTTATAAGTCCCAATGCACGAGTTAGAGCCCATGGGACTAGTCCTACGGAGGGGCGTCTATCTGGGTGATTATGGTACTGGAAAGCCCGCTCTTTCCAAGCATGCTACAAATGCATGCAAAGGCAAATTTCTGCGCCACTTCTTTGAGAAGACCTCGGTCAAGAATCCAGCAGCCGGCCCTCCACGTTGGTCCTCTGACAGCTCACTCCTTCCAAACGTGTTCCCACTACTTCTAACGTTGCCTCCATGCTTTCCCCCGTGGGCATGCTTGGGCCAGCTTCGGTGATTCCATCACCACAGTACTTGGCGAGGAGCGCGTGCAGGCGGCGTGCGACGTCCTTCATGAGGGGGCGGCGGGAGCCGGGCACCTTGACACAGTCGAGCGCGATGTCGGCAAACTCCACCACCGCATCCTCCGGGGCATCCAGAGCCACGTCCTTGAGCAAGCCAAACTCGTACGCCTGCACCTTGCTGGTTGCCTGCAGGCGAGGGGAGAGCCGAAATTGGGCAGAGCAATGGGTTGCAGAGGCGAGGGAGGAAGAAATGGATGTGATGAGAGGAGAAGCCTAAGGGCCTGTGATCTGAAAAGAGAAAGTGGAATGCGAGGGTGACTTCTTACACTCTCTAAGCCGAGGCTTGAGTCGCAAGAAATCCCATGCACTCACCCATTCACAAATATGTAAGTCAGTTCCTTTCACACGTGTCCTCTGCGCAGTCAACAGCTCCAACAACACCACACCAAAGCTGGTTCAGGGTTGGAAGGGGAGAAGGGGGGGGGAGGGGGGAGTTAGAACAACTTGGATGCTGCCACCATAAGGAACGCAAAAGGTGATTAATTAGGGGGAGGCAGATTGGGCACAGGATATTTCAGATCGTTGCTGTAATTGGTAGTGCACTGGTATAGGATCCAATGCGTGCCATTTCAGACCAGTAAAGCATGGTTGCACAACACAATACTACGGCACCTTTTATTTTGTAAATTGTTGCTTTCTGAACCTCAGTGGTAACACCCACCTGTACACGTCGCTCTTTTCCGACACCACTTGGGAGCGGTTGTAATCCGGGTCCACGTAGCCTGGAGTCCCGGCTATTCGCGTCCGATCATCCTCCTCCCCTGCATGGCTCAGCTGCTTCAGCAACCCAAAGTCCGCTATCTTGGCCTTTGTGCACACACAGAAAGCAACCAAGCACACACCCATGCACGCACACAAAAGCAGCAGTGGCACAGTCATGGGCACACACACTCAAACGAGCAGCAAACACACAACCATCGGCACACACACTCACACAGGCAGCAAATGCACAACCATACGCACACACACACACACACACACACGCACACACACACACACACACACACGCACACACACGCACACACACACACACACACACACACACAAGCAGCAAAGGCACAAACATGAATATTGAGTGCACTTGCAAATGCGACTCCACTCCAGCACACAAGGTTGAGTGCAATAAAAAACACATGCAAATCCAGCATTTTCGACTATTACGTACCCATGCAAATCACCCAAAGTCACGAGACATGCACACACACACACATACACGCACGTGCGTGCACACACGCTCACACGCGCACACATGAAAATCAACCCCAATTGTACACTCTGTAAGAAACAGAACTTTTATTAAATTGAAATGAGAGAGGGCATACAAGCTTAAGTACTAACCATAGAAGAGGGTTGGAAGGGATAAGGGAAATCGGAGGGAATCCCAAGGGAATCCTCCCAAATCGTGGGGATTTGGGATGGATTGGGTTGGGATAGGTTGGAGATAAAAAAGCTACACCCAACCTAACAAAAATTTCCTAACCCTAAACCAACAAATGACGAACACACAAATGTGCAACATTGCAGCCTATCTCCAACACACCCCCTAGGCTGCAACGGCGGAAGTCATCAGGACGCCAAGACCCATAGCACGGAGGAGGCGGTAGTGGTCATGGCGTCCAAGAGACTTGGTGAAAAGGTCTGCCAGGTTGCAGTCAGAAGAAATGTGCTTCACCCACAACTGCCCACGCTGGACCAACTCGCACATAAAGAAGTGCCGAAGCTCGATATGCTTGGTCCGTTGGTGGAAGACAGGGTCTTTGGTAAGGTGTATAGTGCTCTCGTTGTCACACCATAGGGTCGGGGTCCGCTGAGGATACCCGAGCTCCGCCATGAGGTAGGTAAGCCATCGGGCTTCTTGGGCTGCCATGGTGCCTGCGTACAGCCCTGCTTCGCAGGACGACAAAGAGACGGACGATGAGCGTGTAGATCGCCAGCTGATGACACCACTACCAAGGGTGAAGCAATAGCCCTGGGAGGAGCGTCGGTCAGCTTGGTCGTCAGCCCATGAGGAATCACTGTACCCCTCGAGGTGAGGAGAGGACGTGCCACCGAGAGTGAGGACAAAGTCCTTGGTGGCTTGAAGGTAGCGAAGGACACGCTTAGCAGCTGACCAGTGGCGATTGGTGTAACGACCAGCAGCAACGTAACGTGAGAGCACGCTGATGGGATAGGCCAAGTCGGGCCTTGTGCACATCATCGCATACATGAGTGAGCCGATGAGCTCAGGATAAGCTGCATCACAAGGCTCAGGTGATGGAACTGGCGGGGCACTTAGATCGTGTTGCAGGGGAAGCGGCGTAGCCACTGACTTGGCTTCGTCCATGTCGAAGCGCTTGAGGACGTTGTTCACGTAGAACTCTTGCGAGAGAGTAATGGTTTGGGCTTCACGGTCCCGCGTGATTTCCATCCCAAGGTAGTTCTTGAGTTCGCCGAGATCCTTCATCGCGAGCGCGTCCCCTAAGGCTTGCTTGACTGCTGCCAGCTGATCGGAGTCCTTGGAGACGAGGATCATGTCGTCAACATAGACGAGAATGAAGAACGGCTTCTCGTTCTTTCGAATGAAAAGGCTCGGATCGGCGGCAGAAGGATGAAAGTCGAGTGACTCGAGGGTGGCCTTCAGCTTCTTATGCCATTCGCGAGGAGCTTGCTTCAGCCCGTAGACGGGTCGATTCAACTTCCAGACTGTTCCGGGTGGAAAGGGTAAGGGGAACCCTTGAGGCCGTTCCATGAAAATGTCCTCAGGAAGGTCTCCCTGCAGGAATGCCGCTGAGACATCCATAGAGTGGACCTCGAAGTTGCCTCGAGCAGCGACGTCAAGGAGAGTGCGAAGGGTAGGCAGTTTAGCCGTTGGGGAGAAGGTGTCAAAGAAATCCAGCCCCTTTTTCTGTGTGTAGCCTTTGGCACAGTAACGTGCCTTAAAGACCGGAAGTTCGCCAGGTAGCTGTTTGACACGAAACACCCATTTGCCGCGGACGATGTTCACTCCTTGAGGAGGAGAGACGTCGGTGAAGGAGTTGTTGCGAATGAATGCTTCACACTCGGCGATCATGGCTGCGGACCATGAGAACGGGTACGATGAGCGACGGGGGAGGAAGGAGGCGGCGGAGGAGTAGGTGGGACGGAAACATAAGAACGACCTTGGCGACGACGCTGATAGGTGACGGGTGGGGCGGCGGGAGGGGGATCGGCAGGTGCGGATGCCGGAGAAGGGGGGGAGGAGGGCGCAGGCAATGGTGATAGCGCGGGAGGAGGGGAAGAGGGAGCACCCGAGGTGGCGGGGGAAGGAGGGTGGGAAACAGCGGAAGGAGACGGAGCGGGTGAGGAGGAGAGGGTAGATGAATCAGGAGTGGTGGCAGCGGGGATGGAGAGCGAGGTGTCGAAATCGGCCCAGACGAGCGAGGGTGGAGCGAGGGTGGGAGACGAGTGAAGATAAAATGGGCGAGTCTCGTCAAAAGCGACATCTCGGCAACGAATGAGTTGATTAGTGGATGGATTGAGAAAAATGTAGGCTGGAGAATCGAGGTTGTGACCAAGGTAGACGCATGTCTGCGTCTTGGGAGCGAACTTGCCGCCATGGGCGTGGCGATCATGAGGATTGAGGAGGACATAAGCGGTGCACCCCCAGACGCGGAGCGGGCGTGCACTTGGCTTGGAGCCTGTCCAGAGCTCGGCAGGCGTGACCTCGGGGCGAAGGGGATGAGGGTGAAGGTTGTAGAGGAGAGTGGCGTGAAGGAGAGTGTATCCTTAAAGGGAAGGTGGAGCGGCAGCGTGCGTGAGAAGACAGCGGGCAATTTGCACAAGAGTGCGATTGCGGCTTTCCGCGATGCCATTCTGCTCCGGGCTATGCGGAAGAGTGAAGGTTTGGCGAATTCCTTGCGAAGCGCAAAATGTGTGAAGGGTATGATTGCGGAACTCGCCACCGCCGTCGGAATGGAGACACTTGACGGAGGTGCGAAAGTGGGTTTGAGCTTGCCGAACCCAAGCGATGACGGTATCAGGGACCGCCGCTTTGGAGGAAAGGAGGTGGACGGATGCGTAGCGAGAGTGATCGTCCACGAGTACCAAGAAGTATGAATGCCCGCCACGGGATTGAATGGGCGCTGGCCCCCAGAGATCCAAATGGATGAGATCGAGGGGGGCGGCTGCGGCGGAGGGTGAGGCAATTGACGCAATTTACTTTGTGTACAGTCCAGACAAGGAGGTGCTGGTGAAGGCGATGGTGGGGGAAGAGTGTCGGGAAGATGGAGAAGGAGTTTCTTGGAGGCGAGCTCTGAGAGGGTGCGAAAATTGGGGTGCCCGAGCCGGTGGTGGAAAAGCAAGGTGGGGTCGGAGAGGTGGCGACACGAGCACGTGGAGGTTGTGTGAACTTCAGTGCGAGGTGGAGGCACTTGAAGCGTGTAGAGGTTGTTGGAGGAGAGAGTGAAGCGCGCGAGACGCGTGTTGGAGGTTGGATCAATGAGATCACAGTGGTTAGAGTGAGCGGGGAAGATGGTGGTGACCCCTGCGCGCTGAATTTGGTGCTGTGCGAGGAGATTGTGCCTTAGCGTGGGAAGGCATATACCAGTGACAGAGCCGGAAGGGAATGCTGGGCATGGAAGTGTGGATGAGCCATGGGCGAGGGTGGTGAAGCTCGAGTCGGCACCAAGTAAAGGGATGGGTGCTTGGTATGGTTTGAATTACACTTTGTCCTTGAGGACGGTGTGGGTTGCTCCGCTATCAAGGACGAATTCGAGTGTTGAGGAGCGTTCAGGCGCCGAGTACTGCGAAGTGGTTTCATTGATCATGGCAACGCCTGGGAACAACAGGTTGAGACAAACATCAGGACTAGAGTTGTCAACAGTTGCATCCTGACTAGTCTGAACTTCAAGCTGGTTGGCTTGGCGCATGCGGAGCCAATTGGGTGGCTTGGAGTTGACGCCATTCTTCGCAAACCACTCGTCGTCTTTCTTTTTGAAGCACGTGGCGAGTGGATGATTGGTGCCACCGCAGACCTGCCCTGCGCGAGGGCCCATTTTAATGACGTAGGGACAAGGCGGGCAGCGGTTGCGAGCTGGAGGCACATTGGGACGTGCAGTAGGGGAGGAGCTTGGAGCGCGAAGTGCATTTGCTCGAGCCTGGGCGGTGTTGTCTTTCTCGGCGGAAAGAAGTGCAAATGAGACTTTAGCGAAGGTGAGCTCTTCCGGCGGGAGGTGGAGGAGCATAGAGCGGGTGACATTGTAGGACGGAGTCAACCCAACGAGGAGAGCTGCGGCAGGGGCATGTTCTGGGAAAACAATGCCAAGCTGCTTCAGCTCCTGATGAATACCCTGAATTTCCGCCACATAGTCTGCCATGCCTGGGCATTCCTCCAAGCGCACTTGAAACATGCGAGGAATGAGGATTGCCACCCCCACAGCAGTTTTGTTGAGGAAACGGTCGTTGAGGTACTCCCAGATGACATGGGCGGAGGGGTAGTTATGATATGTTTTAACGAGCTTGGAAGGAGTGGTGCTGACGAACACGCCAATGATAGCAGCGTCAGCCTGCTCCCACACACTGTAAGTTTCCTCGTACTTGGTTGTCAGATCTTCGTGCGCCTTGGATTCTTCTTCAGTGGCATTCGCCTGGAGTTCTTTGGGTGGAGTGGGCATCTTCCCTTTGCCACGGTTGAGTAGGACATGCTTAAGACAAATGCCTTCGACCTTGCGACTCAGAAGGTGCTTGTCAATGACGTAGCTCCATTCCTTGAAATTGGGGCTTGTGCCGTTGGGGTCAAGGCGCAACGGAGTGATTGGGGTACCAAGGGACGCGGAGGGGAAGGCCATGGTGTAAAGGACCTCTTTCTCCTGCGCGGAGCGCAGCTCTTAAGTCGCCGATAGGAACTTCGCGAAAATGGCGCTTTTCCGAAGCGGATTTTCAATGCTCGGAGTGTCGATTTGTCGGGACTCAATAGGAAACGAGCCGTCCGGAAAATCACGAAATAGTGATCAAAACTGCTACTACTATACTGCTACGCCGCTGCACCCGCTGCTGCACCCGCTGTTGCCCCCGCTGCTGCCCCGGCTGCTGCCCCCGCTGCTGCCCCCGCTGCTGCTCCCGTTCTGCTACGCCGCTGTGACCTCTTGCCGTTGCAAGGGCGACGGGCGGCAGCCCGTTCAGCTTCGACGCGCAGATGCAGGGCGACGGGCGACGGCCTGAGACAAGTGCGATGAGCAGATGCGGGGCGACGGGCGGCAGCCCGACGTAAGGTGCTGTGCAGATGCGGGGCGACGGGCGTCAGCCCGAAGAGAAGAGCCGCGCAGATGCGGGGCGACGGGCGTCAGCCCGAAGAGAAGCGCCGCGCAGATGCGGGGCGACGGGCGTCAGCCCGAAGAGAAGCGCCGCGCAGATGCGGGGCGACGGGCGTCAGCCCGAAGAGAAGCGCCGCGCAGATTGAGGCGGCTAAAGAAGCTTTGCGTCGTAAGACGCAAATGCTAAGCTCCAACGGAGCGAGAGGATCGAGAGCCGCTTAGGCGGAAACGAGCTCTGATACCATGTAAGAAACCGAACTTTGATTAAATTGAAATGAGAGAGGGCATACAAGCTTAAGTACTAACCATAGAAGAGGGTTGGAAGGGATAAGGGAAATCGGAGGGAATCCCAAGGGAATCCTCCCAAATCGTGGGGATTTGGGATGGATTGGGTTGGAATAGGCTTGAGCAAAACCGGGTAATTACCCGACCCGACCCGGTTTTGCAATACCCGACCTCGGGTCGGGTAATTTCGGGTCGGGTAATTTCGGGTCCGGGTCGGGTAATATGCCCAGGACCCTTACCCGGACCCGGCCTTAAGGGGACGGGTAATACAATACCCGCCTGGCGGGTCCGGGTATACCCGACCCGGTTACCCTGAAAAGCGGGTAATACTACCCGCCACCTACTAGTGGGCATCCTAAAGTTGGGCTAGGCTAGGTAGGGTTCCTGAAAACGCGACTCTCAAATGAGAGTCGCGTTTTCTGGGGGTCGAATTTTGACCACCCAACTCCCTCCCTTTCACCGCACTGAACTCCTCCCCGTCTACAAACTCCAATTTCCAACCAAACTCCCTCCCATTCACCGCACTGAACTCCTCCCTGTCTACAAACTCCAACCTTTCCAACAAAACTCCCTCCCTTTCACCGCACTGAACTCCTACCCATCTACAAACTCCAACCTCTTCTCCAACTCCCACCCAACTCCCTCCCTTTCACTGCACTGCACTCCTACCCATCTACAAACTCCAACCTCTTCTTTAACAACCCACCCAACTCCCTCCCTTTCACCGCACTGAACTCCTACCCATCTACAAACTCCAACCTCTTCTCCAACTCCCACCCAACTCCCTCCCTTTCACCGCACTGAACTCCTACCCATCTACAAACTCCAACCTTTTCTCCAACTCCCACCCAACTCCCTCCCTTTCACCGCAGTTAACTCCTCCCCATCTACAAACTCCAACATCTCACAAATGCTCCACTCGTCCCCTCTCACCTCCAAAACCGTTTTGCCCCAAAACCTAAAACACAGCGTGACTTACGCCCATGTCTAGGTGGAATACCCGACCTCGGGTATTTTTTTACCCGACCGGGTCGGGTACCCGTTACCCGACACGTCGGGTAGCATTTCGGGTAGCGGGTATTGATACCCGGCCCGGGTAACCCGGACCCGACCCGCCGGGTAATTTTCAGGATTTCCGATACCCGACCCGCCCTAAAAGCGGGTCCGGGTACCGGGTACCCGACCCGGTCGGGTAGTTTGCTCAACCCTAGGTTGGAATAGGTTGGAGATAAAAAAGCTACACCCAACCTAAAAAAAATTTCCTAACCCTAAACCAACAAATGACGAACACACAAATGTGCAACATTGCAGCCTATCTCCAACACACTCTAATTCACTAGTGGATTCAATGACACGTGCACTGCAACTCCTGCATCTGTGCCTCTTACGTTCCCCTGACTCCTGTGAGATATTTTTTTCTTCACACTTATCCATCTAGGTTTGGCTTTCTGGTTGTACATTGGTAGACATTGGTAGACAACCTAATTGGGCAAATACCTTCGGGGGTCACCTTTTTTTTCTGGGCTGGGTTGGTCCAACAATGGTGTTCAAGAATTGTTCCAACCACCTCGAGCAACCTTTTGGACAGCCTACCCCTCCTGGCTAGTTGGCATGGCAATCCCGACCAACCCAGTTGGATGGATACCCAAGAACCAACATAAGTTGGGTTCCTCATTAGCATTTGTTCACCTGCCCTGCATCTCCCAGTGGATCTGTTGAGCTGGTGCATCTTTTTCATAGCTTTTCACATTCCAAGGCACAGCTTCCCCCTGATTTTTAGCCTCACCTCCTTTCAGCTTCCCCTGCACGTGGGAACAAACACCTAATGCGCTGCCACTACATTCCACCCACCTGGAAGTGCTCCCCCACAAGGATGTTGCCGGGCTTGAGGTCGCGGTGCACGATGGGCGTCGCAAAGCTGTGCAAATAGGCCACTCCCTCCGCTGCGCCCACCGCCAGCTGCACCCGCTGCTGCAGGGACAGGGGGGCTGGGGGGGAGAGGGGAAGGAGGGGGCGGGGGGAGAGGGGTTAGATTAGAATGAAGGAGCATGCAGGCTAGAATATAGGACAAAACTTGGGGTTGAAGTGACGGCGGGAGACGGGAATGCGGTGCACATGGCTTGGGACAAGACAAAGGGAAGGACACATTTGGATGGTAAAGAGAGACAGGATGAACAAGGGAGGAGGGCACGAGGGGCTTGCTTGAGCATCAAAATGGAAGATTGTGAAAATAAGCACGAGAAATGGGCCGATTGTCATGGATCAGACAACAACGCAAGGGATGATGCAAAGAAGGAGGGGCAACAAGGGTGGGAAAAGTTTGAAGAGGGGAATATATGGGAGGAAACCCTTGGTGTCGTGGATGTGGTGCTTGAGGTCCCCGTTGCCCACGAACTCGTACACGAGGATCTGCTCCTGCTGGCCGCTCTCCACGTTCTGATGCAGGCAGAAGCCCAACAGCCGCACCACATTCTCATGCCGCAGCGATGCCATCGCCCGCACCTGGCAGTAGACATGGTTATATCGCATCGCATCGCATCATATCGCATCATATCGCATCTCATATATCGTAAAAATGCGATAGCAAATTTTTTTCCTGAATAAATATCGCGCGATGCGATGCGATTTATATCGCGCGATATTATTTATCGCACTTATCTCGCTATGCAACATCAAATATCGCGTGCGATATTTGGGCGATATTTACGTGATATCCGTGCGATAATTTTAATATCGCATGCCCTTATCTCAGGCCTGGAAACCACTTTTAAACCATGCTTTTAAATGTGATGCGATATTGGCATAGCGCAATATAAAGCAATATTTTTGCGACATAATTTAAAATCGCACCTAAAAAGCGATGTGCGATATCATTTTTCTGGAAAAAAATATCGCAGCGATGCGATATTATATCGTGCCATATTAAAATGTGATATGGAGAAAGGCGATGCGATATTATATCGCATCGCATTTTAACAATGTCTACCTGGCAGTGGGGGAGGGGGAGGGGGGTTTGAGGGAGTGTTAGGAAAATAAGGCCAGTGATATAAGATGACTTACAATCTGCATCACCAATGTTTTTTATGGAAACTTTACAAGCACACACTTTGGTGATGTGCACTTTCACGTTGCACAGATCAAAGCAATCAATTACGTTCCACACATCTCGCTTAAGTGTTTCTTCCATGCATCCATGCTAAGCATTCCCCGCACCTCCTTCTCGAAGTCGTTGGACATGAGCTGATTGCGCTTCACAGCCCACAGGTCCCCTTTCTCCGACACCCCCTTGTACACCGTGGCAAAGCCGCCCTTCCCAAGCACGTTGTCGCTCGACCAGTGGTCTGTTGCCCGCAGAATCTCCGCCATGCTGAACTCCTGGCACACGTCCAGGTCGCCCCACTTCCCTGAAGCATCGCACGGGGGCAGTACAGTCAGCATGAAAGAGGTTGCTCAGTGTCACCTGTGCTAGCTGCTTGTTTGATTTAGAAAAGTGTAGATTTGAGGGTCATAGGGATGCATGAGAGGAGGGGAGGAGGGGCTCACTGCGTTGTCTGGGCCAGAGCAGAGCCACAATGAGAGCGAGGAGGAGGGCAAAGGCGGCAGCAGAGCCCACAGCAATGCCCACCACTGCGCCTGTGGAGAGCGCTGGAGAGGAAAGGAGTGGGAAGAAAGAATTAAGAGGCGAAAATCGATTAACATTCAGAGCAACCTACATCGCCCAGCCTTTGCAGGAGGAGCCTTTTGCTCAAAATTCTGTAGTTAACAAGGCAGGAATCCAAAGAACTTTCATTGAAGCGGATTAAATTCCAAATCAACTCTCTCCTCCTAGCTTTTCCTTGCCACCCACACAGCATACCGGTTGTGGGTGGCGGAGAAGGGCGGGCGCAGGTGGATCCGAGGGTGCCATTGGCAGTGACGTATCCATCGTCACACTCACACGTGAATCCCGCTCCTGCTGCCCCCGCCTGCGGTGGCACACACTCTCCGTGCCCGTCGCACGGCCCCAGCTCCCGAGACATGCTGCAGAATGCCAGGCACGCATCGCTGCTGCGCTGCGTCTCATTCGCCGTGCACTCCAGCTGCGTGCTCAATGTGAAGCAGTTCAAACGCAGACTTGCTTGCCCTTGCATATTCGCCCCGGAACGAAACTTGGCAGAAACCCCTCCGCCGCAACGCCCACGCCTATCAACGCTGGTCCCCACCCAGTCCAGGGCATCGGGTTCAATCATTCCCGAGGGGCAGAACTGGCAGCCATCGGCATAGAGCATGGGATCGCCGTAGAAATAGTTGGCTGCTATGTTGAGCAGAGCGCCACCGTCAGGAATCATGCTGCGGAAGTTGCTGTTGATGGGCCCGTAGAAGCTGTTGTTGCTGATATCACTGCAAAAATTTAGGGGAATGCGGGTGGGGAAGAAAGGGAGGAAATAGGATGAACTCTGTTGCATTAATCTATGTGCAATCTTCTCAACTCCCCACCCTACTGATGCTGAGAATTGAACACAATGCTCCTCCAATTGCAAAACGTTCCTGTGATTGCCATCCACTTGGCAAAGACGTCAAAAACTGATACAAGCAACCTAAGGGCATGGTACACTTTGATCGGTTCACTTGATTTGTTCGGGCTACTCTTTAACAGGTTTTCACGAATAGCTGACAGATTCAGAAAAAAAACAAAACCCGCACTCACGAACGACCAACGTTCGTAAAACGAAGCAAATAGACAGCATTCGCGACACGGACGAAACCACACTTCGTAATTTATGAAAGCGTCAATTTGCGCTGGACAGAATGTGGGGGTTTTCCGCGCTACTCGCTGCTGCGACATTTCGTTTTCGTCAGAGACCTAGATTGTTGTTGCGAGGTTCGTGTCGCAGTGGAACATTTGTTGCGTATACTCAATTGGCCGTGTATACGCAGTCAAGCTACTCGATTGTGAACGTTGGCTGAGCAGGCGAAAGTCTTGCTCACATTAAAAGTTCGAATTTTCTCAAAATCAGAAAAGCGTACCACCCCCTAAAGGGCACTGGGGTTGCCCTAGGCTAGGGATTCTGGGGAACGGTTACTGACGTCTCAGCCTTAGAAGTTATGGGCGTGCTATTCTGCTACAGTGGCATGCCCTTCTAGTAAAATGGTAGGCGGATGCAATTCAGACAACTGCATCAAGCCTTCAGCCTCGCCTCTGGCAATACATTTTGTACATTCTGGCAATACACTCCAGCACGGCTCACATTCTGTGCAGGCAATGCTCGAAAAGACAAGCAGGAAAAGCTCCATAGAAGTTATTGTTGCGGAGAAACCTGAACAGAGCACAGCAGAAAAAAACAGCATTTCGAAGGAGCAAGCAGCCAAGAAGAAAGAACTAGGAACATAAAATAGTGAGAGAAAGACAAGCAAGGCCATGGGAGAAAGACACAGACACGGGGCTTTGAGAGCGAGGGGAGTAGAAGGCTTGGGGACTCTGAACAACAGGGGACTTAGACAGACACATCCATATTCAGCTTTGCATGATTGTGCTCGAATGATCTCCAAGAAGTTGCAGACCAGAAGGCATTACATGGTGTGCAATTGGGTGAGGTTGCATATGGATTGAGGGAGCTTTCCCGACAGTTGGTTGTCGTATACAGACCTGCCAGCATGCAGTGTGATTGCGCGAGCATGCAGGAACAGGCTTCAGGCAGATCTCAAAGTACTAAACGTGCACACAATGTGTTGGAGAAAGCAACATAGCCATTCCGCTTGTGCCACATCAGGTGTGCCTTTACTAGGGAAATGAATGGGCAGTGCATGGCGTGGTGTGGAATCATACTGCATTGCATTGCAACACAATCCAAGGCATGGTGTGGTGTTGTATGGTATGGCATGGCATGTAGCATACATACAATTCAAAAAGGTTGGAGAGGGTGCCAAGGTCAGAGGGTAGCCCTCCTGAAAGATTGTTGGAAGCAAGGTCTCTGGTGGGGTGCACCGTGCAGCAATGATAGCACAGTGTATGACGATAGAATGACCCTGAGAAACCTTGTGGACTATCCACAGGTCATTCTTGAAGCATACAAGCAAATAAGTGATAAGCAATGGAAACACACATGAATGGAGCACACCATAAGGTGAGGATGTGCAGACGGAAGCTGCCAAACTTTGCTTGGATATTTCTACCGAAATATGGTAATGAAGCATTTGGACAGATTATTCCATGATTTTAAGTTAATTTTGCAAATCCCGTCTGCAGGGGAAAGTCTGACCAAAATGTTTAAGCTGCCGTGCACATTCCCGAAAATGTGAGGTGCTACACCGTCAATTGCGCATGGGAAATGCGGATTGGGTAGCAAGTTGATGAAAACTTTTGGACTCTATGAGAGTGTTGGCATTTCGTCACACTAAAAAAAGCCACGGCGAATTTCTGGCCCAGGGGGATGAATGAAACAGCAGGGGCGGGAAAAGAAGAGGGGGGGGGGGGGGGAAATGACGATGCGGTAAGGGGGGCGGAATCAACATTGCAGGGAGAACAAAATCGAAAACATTTGAAATTGAGTGGCGGGATAAACGAGATTGCTGGGGGGAAGGGGGAAGGGGGGGGGGAGGGGAGGGGGGGCGGGAGGGAATTGGTCCTTACAAGGTTTCCACGACATTTCCCCCCCAAAGTACTGCAACATTTCGTCGTAACTTTCCATCCAAAGCTTTCCAAAACGGAAAACTTCCAAAATGTGCAGGTGGCGTGTGAAAAAGAAAGAGCTAATGTAATGTAGAAAAACGAATGGATTACAGGACACCAAGGTTGGGAAGGCTAAGCAGAGCAGAAGGGAAGGTCCCTGAGAGCTGGTTGTTGCGCAATAACCTGCAGGGATGGTGGAGACTTGGGCATGGCCGTTTATTTCAGATTCTCAGTAAACATGGAAGAGGAGGGGAAGATCCATTCTGTGACATTGCTTGCAGCATAAGCTGCACTTCCCTTATCTTAAGGCAGACAACCTACATTTGTTAAAAAAAAAACATTTAGCATATCTCACAGCTCACTGACAAGACAAGAAATTCCATTATTGTTTCAGGATCACAAGGTTGCATGCTTTTCAACACTTCCCTAACATCAGGTACATTGAAAATCATTTCCCTTTCACATGATAAGGGCAGCTGAAAATAAGAGGAGGCACGTGATATATGTGGGTGAAAACCCCACCCAGACTTAGGGCAAGAATAGGCCGGGTTCAGTTTGAACAGCCAAATCAGAAGTCAACCCCTGTCGGCCGGTTATAAACTCAAACAGCTGACTACCATCATGGGATCTTACAAGACATCCAACGAAGTGAGTGTTCTGATCGACTCTGGAATGGACCCTGTGAAGCTGTTGTCGCCTAAATCTCTGCAGCCACAGGGGGGAAAATAGCATACCATAAAAAAACCCCTTGGAGTGTGTTGGGACACACACATGACATGGTATCTCATTGGCACATGCACAACTCCAATACATCATCCCAATTCGAGCAGAGATGCTACCCAGAGCGTCTCTTACAAGGTGGTCAGGGAAGTATTCCATTTAGAGAAGTCAGGCAGGGGCCCTTTGAGGTCGTTTTCTCCAAGGTATCTGGTGTCCAAATACATGACATCATGCACCAATTACAGATTTAGAGGGACGACAGGGCTTGAACATCACAAGAAGGATAAGGATCCTTCGTGAAACAATGCATCAAAACATACAATCGGTCGTTCAGTGACCCTTTACAATGCATCACCGCAATGCCTCTAAACATACAGGACTCCGAGGAGAACATTGGATAGAGTGCTTGGCAGTTGTCCAGTTAAACGGTTGTGCTGCATGTCCCTGGAGGTTTGATGTCACATACAGAACGTGGAAGGGATAGGTGCAAGGAGCACGTGGTTGCAGAAAATGATTGATGGTAAGAAAAAATGCCTAGTTCTTCATGGTTCGCCATTGCGTACGTATATGGAAGGAGCACCTTTTTAAAGGATTGACTAGATTTTGGCATTTAGTCTACCAAGTTTACTCATCATTTCTCAACCAGACCGTAGCCATGTCGGATCACATTCCCTTACGACATCCAATCAGGTCGATCCTCATGGCTTTGAGACCTCCCCCCCTCCCTCCCCTCCCCCCCTCGCCAATCTACTCTAGACGTCTCAGAACACACTCCTTCCTCCCGTTCGCATGCGGCCCTGCCCCCTTCCAAGTGCTCCATCTCCCTGCAAATTCCCCTTGAACCACCTTTCTTCCCTCCTCCATGCCTCCTCCTACCTTCCTCCCTCCCCATCCTCCCCTCCTTGCTTCCTTCCTTTCTCCAGCCAACATCTCTCCATTATACACTGTACACAACATTTCTCCATCATTTCTCTATTCTACACCACCCAAACCCTAACTATTTCAGCTATCTGCCTACCTCCTCCTCCTCTCATAGACTCATAGTCACTCACTCCTCTACTATCTCAAAATCCAAACCCCCCTCCTCCCTTACACCTGTACCCACGCTCCACCTTCCTCACCCTCGTTACTGACACCCTCCTCACTGGCACCTTCCTTAATGAACGGGCGGGCATCAGGGAGGAAGAGGAGGGACGGAGAGCACAAGAAAACATAGGAAAGCAAACAGACAGTTGAGGCTCTTACAGCCACGCAAGGGCTGGAAGAGTGAGTAACCCTGAAGGAATTTCCTCGTGGAAGTTATTGTTGTCCAGGGATCTAGCAAGAAGAGAGATGGGACAGACAGAGCAAGTCAGGGTTTCGGGTTTAGGGTTTAGTCACGAGGCAGGTCCCAACGCATACTCGTGCCTGCAGGCGCGGCAGCAAGTAGGCAAAGATTGTTTTCCTCGCCTCGAGGAAATTGTTTTTCGACCCGAGGCGAGGATTCCTTCACATGGATGGGGGTAAGGGGAGGGGGGGAGGGGGGCAGGGGGGGGAGGAGAGGGGGGGGGCTTAAAGCCCGACCGGCAGGTTGCAAGTCGCTTCAGCTCAAGATGCATCATCTTGAGCACCTGTTACTGGGAAGCAATCGCTGAATTGCTGGGTTGGCCAAACTGGCTCAAGCTAAACCCTCGACAAACTTGGCAGTGTGACATGCCTGCCAAGTTCCGAGGGGCAGGAAACAGAGCTACGACTACGACTAGATAGCAATTCCCCGCGCGTTTGACGATTTCGAGGCGTAAACGTGCGAATACACTGCCACTGTTGCACGCGTTTTTTGCGAGATTCGAACCACCGAACGGGGGTAGAGAGCGGGGTTGCCAAGCATTGGAAAAAACTTTCAAAGCAGGAGTGAAACTTGGCGCTGCTGCCGAGTTGAGCCCCTGCCAAATGAGAGGCACGAAACTTGGCACTCGTGCCAAGTTTCCAACCCTCACCGCACTCACACACAAGCAGGTACCTTAGCGAACGCAAATCTTCGCCATAAAGTTTCGCCCTACCTAAGACTCGTCAGCCAATCATCTGATGCCGGCCCACCTACCTCAACAGTGTCAATATGCAACCTGCCGGTCGGGCTTTAATGGGCACTTTTGCCCGGAATACTGAACCCTGCCTTTGTTATTTCGAAAGCGTTCTTCCCACTCTATTCCCCAGGGGTTATAGGCAGGCACCCTTGCCCCGGGTTTTCGAATTTGACCCTTCTCACGTAGACATGGGTATATCGCATCGCATCGCGTTTCATCGCATTTTGCGATGGGGTTTTTTTTAATATATATATAAAATCGCACCGATGCGATGCGATGCGATAATATCGCGCGATTTTTCGATATCGCGCATTTATCGCTGATTTTTCAGCGCGATAAAACGCAATATGCGATATTAAAATATTGCGCGCCATACACCCGCATATCGCGTCGCCGAATTGCGCCAGAAAAGGGGGGGGACATGGGCGCGGGCCCTGAACTTAGCAAAATTTAGGGTTCTGGCGTGCGGAAATTGCGTGCGGCTGTTTGGGGTTGGCATAATTGACGGGGAGGTGTTTGTGAGGAGCTTGGAGAGGAAGGGTTGGAAATTCTAGTTGAAAAGGAGTGCAGTGCGGTTGAGGGAGGGGAGTTGGTTGGAGGTTGAAATTTTGACATGGGCGGTGGTGGATGGAATGTGGTGGTGTGCGGTTAAAGGGATTTAGGGGGTTGATTGAAATCTCGACCCCCAGTAAGTCAATTGGTTGGAAATCCAACCAATTTCCACCACTTCAACCGCGCTAGATTCATCCGCATCTACAGAATCCAACCCCTGCCCCTCTAACACGCTTTACATCAGAGAGGGGCCACGATATCCCATTCTCCCGTCAAACTTCACTCACCTAATTCCTCGTGCACCTAGCAAAGCCGGCCTTGTCGTTCTGCTTTTCTCCTCCGACCCCTAAATGCGAGGCGATATTAAATCGCATCGCGTGATATATCGCATTTATGGGTGCGATATTATTTTAACATCGCACCCTAAAAAACGATATGCGATTTCAAAATTTGAAACAGAAGCAGCGATGCCATATCGCATTGCTGCGATATCACGCGCGATATGACAAAATGCGATGCAATATCGCATCGCATCGCATTTTAAAGCGAGGGTCTCAAGAAGCAAAAAACCAAACCCAAAGGTTTTGGTTTCGAGGGGTCGCGAAAATTGCGAGGTATGGTGAGGGGTGTTGGGGGGTCGCTGTTACTGTTTCGCTCATTTCGCCAACCCGAAACCAAAACCTTTGGATTTGGTTTCGCGCTTCTTGAGATCCTCGCTTTAACCATGTCTATTCTCAAGAGAGGGTTGCGAAAAATCGTTACTGACCCATGGGTTGCGAATTTTGAAATCGACCCCTCAGCAGGGTCTTGCGAAATTCGTAAGTGATCCCTCAAGAGGGGGTTGCGAAATCCGCAATCGACCCCTTGCCGGTAGGTGTTGCAAATTTCGCAATCAAACCCTCTGGATGGGGTTGCAGAAAATTAGATCTGGTTTCCAACTACGTTTCTGACCCCCCTCGCCTAGACGCTAGTCGCGCGGCAGCGGGTTAAGTATACCCCACTCCATGGTTTTTGTTTAAGCTGTTCTAAACGGTAGCATTGGTCCAAATGGGGCCAGCTATCCATTAGCATTGGTCCCCGGGGCACGCTGACACCAAAGTGACGTGAGGAAAATTCCTCGCGAGGAATCGAAATCCTTGCCCCTCAAGTGCCGAGGAATTGTGGGGCCCTCGAATCATCGGCGGGGCAGGGAGCGGATTGCTCGTGAGCTTTTTTCCCAAAAATCTCGCCTCGACCCCGAAATTTCGAGGCGAGGATTTCCGAGGCGAGGAAATCCTTGCCTCGTTGCTCATGCCTAGCAATTGACATTTGTGACCACTGCTCACCACGAGTGCATGTGGGTGTAAGTATCAGCAAGTTAGGGCATACAGAAAGTCTAAGTAAGACATCTTGGAAACATCTTTGGGAATGGACCCATAGAATCCATTCTGACCCAGATCTCTGCAACAACGGGGCAGGGAGTAAAGGAGACAGTAGGAAACATGTTGTCTAAAAAGAGACAGGTCAAGTCACGTCAAACTAATTAAGAATAACTAGTTGATGGAGATGTGGCTTGCTCTGGCAGTGCCTTTTTTTTCTTGTAGACTCGACCATAGATGAATTTACACATACCAATGTAAGCTGTATATCGTAGCAAGGCAGCTCCTGCTCTACGGGCGACACTACAATCTACATCTGTTATAGGAGATGAAAAATCATGAGGGATGCAACATTATGAAAGAGCCACCTCATACACAATCACTGCTGCTCATATCGCCCACTAGCAAACGACAAGGATCCACGGGAAAACTATATCTTCTCCTTGCTCAGACAAAGGAGTTTTCAGAGGTCCCAGGTGTAAGGCAGGAGGACTTGTCTGAGGACGTACAAGGATACAAGGTTGGTGAGCTTCAGTAAGACACTGGGGAATGTCCCTTGGAAGTTGTTTCCTCGAAAGCCCCTGTTTAAAGAGATATTGATTGGCACAAACCCGTCTTTGCACATGATTGGGGTGACAGAATGAGCAATGAACACAAGAAGAATGATCCCGAGATCACCAATATAGGTACATCTGGCACAAATTTTCTAAGGATCTTGCGAAGAAACAAGGCTAGGCCTGGCAACTCACAACCCCGAGAGTGAAGGTAAGGTTGAAAGATCAGGAAAAGCACCAGATATTTTATTGTTTGAAAGTTCTCTGCAAGAATTGGAGAGGAAGGAAAATGCATGATCGCCAATGACAGGTAAAATGTAATCAAGCACACAAGTTGAAACTGTTGAAAAGGGAGTCGGAGTCGCTTGTGTGATGAGGGAAAGGGATACAGGTCAGTTTGGGTGGGGGGTAGTGGGTGCACTGACACGCCCATGAGCACAGCTCCAAGAGGAAAAGGGTACAATAACAGTGTTTTGCCCTTCATCATGAACGAGCAAAGACCATCATCGGAACATTACACATAACCAAGCCAGGACATCTTGCTGATCACATCAAGCCCTGACGTTAACTGGTTGTCGGTAAGAGCCCTGAATGACTCACATGTAAGGGCAGGTGAAAGTATAGCGGAGACGAGAGTGACCGAGGGGTAACAAGAGGATGGCACACACAAGAAGGAGAATAACAGGGGAAGAGAAGTGCGCAGGACAGAGAGAGTCTTGCAAAGAACCATATGCACCATATGCATACTGTGACTAGACACCGGACCTTCCGGTTGTTGAAACTTCCATAAGCCTTGGGGGTTATGGAATGCTATGCTCAACCAGGCAACCCAATAACTGGACTGCAGTCTGCAGTGCTTCTTGCAGTTTATGTTTGCTTACTACCCGGCAATACCACCCAGCATTACTACTCGGCAATACCACTCGAGCTTCTTTCATATGCAAGTCAAGCCTTACAGGTACAAAACGCCACTGAGCTTTGTGAAGGACTTGGGAATCGCCCCTGTGAAGTTGTTGGCAGCAAGTTCCCTGGCAAGCATTGCGACATGAGGGACGTAGATAAATTAATTCACAAGAAACCTTGCAAGGGTACAGCCTTTAAAACAAACAGAAATGAAAACTTAGTCCTGAAAGTAAGGGAGATCATTGAATAACGATAACCTCATAGGTACACATTGTACAAAGAAGGGGGCAAGAACATACTAGCACAAGTTGGGAAACAGAGACGCAAGGCTTCAAGGTTAATGATCAAGTCATTGCCATAGAGACTGACAGGACTGTGAGGCCAGCGAGATCACCAAGAAAAGCAGGGATGGAGCCCGAAAAGTGATTTCCACGGAGATCGCTGCAATGTCGTCAAGTGGGGCAGATGGGTGGAAAGTCGTGGCTTGTGGAACCAACAGCACATTAGCAGCAGAAAAGGGAGTTACGGGTGGCTTATGATGACCATTGACAGGAGACGAGAAGAAACCAGGATGAGTGGTGGGGATATACAGGCTGCTGAGTGCAGTGGAGAAGACTGGTGGGATGGTGCCATCCATGCTGTTTTGCACCAATGCCCTGAACCATGTGCCACATTAGAAATGACAAGGAGCACGTTTGTGCAGAAGTGAGCTTTTCCTGAGAGTGGCTATGTTCCGACAGAGGAAGAACATGGATAATGCTTACAAGACAAGCACAACAGAAATTTTATTCGAGTTCCATAAACAAAACAAAGGTGACTAAAAAGCGCGGTCTATGTTTGAGGGAAAGCTTTTCACATTTTCAAAATGTGAAAACAAACCTTGTTTTCACATTGAAACCCATATTTGCTCAATAAAGCTCAAGGTGCCCATCCATCAGACCTCACATGGAGATCCCCACCCCGCAATTTTTTTTTCTGCGACTGACCGATCCCCTTCAGTTTTGGTTCCGCTTGAGCAGCTTCGCTTCTGCCCGCCCCCACGATCTCGATTCTCTCTCTATTCTCAGCAAATTCAATTCGCCCCTTTTTCCCTCCCTCTTGAGCCATCAAGTCGATTCGCAACCCCCCTCCCTGCCATCCATTTCCCAGATTGTGATTCGCCCTCTTCTCTTCACACAACTTCCCCAATCTGAACACGCCCCTTCCCCCCTAACCCACTCATTTCAACTTCACATTTAGTTAGCAGCCGATTAAGTGCATTTGTCATCACCAAGGCTCGATACAGCCCCAATGTTCCTAGGGCATTGGAACATTGCTCTAAGGTTGATTTAAGGTGTAGAGAGTCTGCCACAATAGAGATACAGTGGAGCCCGGCCCGGGTAATACATTTCGAACAAAGGTCGGGCCCGGTGGGTCTGGGCCTGGGTGGAGCCCAGTGGTGTAATTTGTGTTGTATACATTTCCATGTCTCTAGCAAAGGTCGTCAAACTTTCTTCGCATCGAGGCTCCGTGTTCGAGCGCGCAGACTTGAATTATACTACAATGAATCTTGAAAGAGATCCAAGACGAGCACTTGCAAAGTGGGCGTTTTGGATGTTTATGACCCGGTTTGAGAAATTTACAGTGTGCACAATGTGGTGAGTGCAGAGAATGTTGAGGGAATGGAGCCCTCAATCTTGTTCCTTGAAAACGACCTGTGCAGTCAGCCAGCGCCATGAAACACGAACACTAGCAACGATTAACAATTGCCTCCATGCAAAAAGGGTATCAAAGCCAAGACCAAGAATTGAGCCACACAAAATACTGAGCATGGCCAGAGACTCGTGCATTTTATGGGATGAGTGAATGGAGAAAACGCTTAGTATTGCAACTGACCAAACAAGAACACTGGTGTAACCACTCGTAACCCACAAAATATTGTCTAGGGAGGGAGTAAAGAACAAAATAAACGTCAACGGAATGAGACGCAACTGGATTGAGGTGGAGCACCGGGGTTGCAGTGGTGCAGTGAATGAAAAGGGCTCACAGAAAGGTGAGGTGGTTCAGAGAGCTCCAGTAATCAGGCAGCGCCCCGACCAATCCATTGCCCATGGCATCACTGCCAATCACCAAGCAACCGGCAGATATCATACACTATACATGGGCTTGAGGGTTTAGGCTCGAGCAGGGGTCGACCCGGGGGGTTGGCAAGCCAAGCCGGCTCGAGCCACGTCGAGCCAGCTCCAGAATTCTGCCGGCTCAGCTTGCCGAACTGGGTTGAGCCAGGCCCTGGCTCGATTTCGAGCCAGCTCGGCGGATCAGTACAGGGAATGGCCCTCGTTCTCTTTGTGGAATGACCCTAATGGCCCTATACAAACAAATTCCCAAACCCAGTAGGCTTTTAGTTGATGAAATTGTGGTGAGTTTGGGAGGTCGACATGAGCTAGGAAGAGATCTGGTGGTTGGGAAAACGAAAGCTGGAAATGGGTTTTGCGTTTACCCCCTGGGGGCAAGTGGCACGGCAACAACTCGGTGCGTGACTCTAGCTAGATTTGAACCGGATTCAAGCTCGAGCCTGGCTCTAGTCGGTTTTGTGCGTCGAGCCAAGCCAGAGGCAGAAAACAAAAGGCAGCTTGCTCAGCTCAGCTTAGGGCCCATGTTTATCATACACACACCGCATTGCACACTTGGGATTTTGGTTGCAGTAAAGAAGACGTTTCCACGTGCCCAGCAAACAAGAACAATGAAACACAGCTTGTTCCAACCCAATGATCACCTTGATTTTAAAAAAAAAAAAAAAAAAACAAACAAACAAACAAACAAAAAACACACAAAAAACAACAAACAAAAACAAAAAACAAAAAACAAAACCTTTCTCCCTCATCTGCTCCAATGGGAACCACGTCTCCCGTTTTCCTCTTGTCGATCCGAATCCACCCAACATCAGTTGCCATTCCTTTGAAGCCCGAACAACTTGGCCATCTGCGTCACGCGGCCATTTGCAAATAGCTTTTACGAGGATTTCATATTCACTCACAAGTGTTGCAGCTGGGCAAGGCGGGAGAGGTCCTGCGGCACGACCCCGCTGCGATAATCAGCAACATGGCTGACATCGCTGAGAGGATAGACGGAGTTGGGGGAGGGAGGGACGAACAAGGGGGGACAAACAGCCTAAACCTCGAGAACAAACTGGGGCGTGAGATTACCTTTGCCCAGTATACACCCCAGCGAAAGCTTACAATTGAGGGTTTTAAAACGAATACGATTACGAGTACGAGTACTGTACTTTAGGCAAGTAATAGGCGAATAGTTGGCGAAAAAGTATTTGCTCGAATACTTGGACTCTATCAAATACGAATCCGAGTCGAATAGTTCCGAATACGAGTCGAATACGAATCGTATCCGAGTATTTTGTCATGCTGCATTTTTGGCATATGCGCATAGAGTATGGGGCGCACATTCAGACACTATGGGGCGCACGGTCAACTCTTCATGCGGGTAGCGATGTCCACAAGTGTAAACGGTGTGCCCTACCACGATACCTCTTTCCAGTCCGCCCATACTTGTCCCCACCGCATTAGCCACCACACCGTTGCATGCTAGGTGTGATTTTGCCTCATGCATCTGACGTTCATATTCTGACGAAGCTGGATAGGTTTTTGTGCGTGCTTTCACAGCCATTCCTTTGCGTATGGCCATGAATGAAAATACAATTCGAATAGTCGAGTACTCGTCGAATAGTCCTTTCAAGTATTTGCCGAATCGGAGTATTTGACGGTCGAATAGTGTCGAGTATCTGGGTGGTATTCTACTCGCCAAATACCCCTTAAACGAGTCGAATACGAATACTACTCGAATATTCTGCTATTCATTTTCACCCTTACTTACAATGTAAACAGTACACTTAACATCCCATTTAGTAACAACGTCAAAATCGATGATGCTCGAAACAAGCACAATCATCCAAAGCAGAATCAGACGAGCATGCTTCGGACGGCAGGGAGAGGGAGGGGCATAATTGAGTGGTATTTTTTAATATAAAAGTGGAAATGCTAATCAAAACAAGTGATGATTATTTGGAATTGAATCCTCTTCTTTATCATCCATAAAAAATATCTGACCGTGTATCAACACCAAGGTGCAAAAAAACGGTCGTTTTTTTTTTTTTTTACCGTATAATACGGAATCGTTTTATTCGGCCGTTTAAAACGGTTTAAAACGGTCCTGAGGTGCGTTTTTGGGTTGGTGCAAAAAAACGGTCGTATAATACGGTCGTATTTTTTTAACCAGCCAAAACCTGGGGAAAAAAAATTTGTAATTAAATGGTAATCACTTTCGGATGCACCGTGGTACTTCATTTGTGAGTGTTGTTAATGTTTTGAGACGCTGGTGAGGGTGATAGTGGGGGGGAAGACGCGGCAGAGGAGGAGGACACAGATTCAACACACGTACCTGTAGAACTGTTTGTTAGCCCCCTTAGCCCCGAGTAAACCATCGTAGCCACCATGTAACCTGTTTCCGCAGGGTTTTTTTTTTTTTTTTTTTTTTTGGTGCCCAAAAATGTCTTTCAAAAAAACGGTCGTATTTTATTTTTTCTTGCCGTATAAAACGGACCGTATAATACGAAAACCGTATTTTTCCACCTTGATCAACACTAGGGCTGATATAATCAACCATGCCATTTGGTTGATTGTAATAAATTTTGTCCACTAACTCATCTAATTTGTCGGATGAAAGTCGCTCAATCTTGGGTGTATATTTTATCAAACAGCCTCTTCCCTAAACCGTGCTTGCAACTTTCATAGAACACGACTCACTTTGTATAGTTCTTAAAGAGAAGATATAGGAGTATGATTTTCTTTTGATTAACTTTACTCATACGTACAGGTGACGCAAACCTGTCAAGTCCATCACCCATCGAGGGAACTGGGTAGACAACAGGTAACTTAGATCCCTGAAGCATGTGATGGAGACATGGATGGATGGAGATGTGGGTGGGTGGATGATGGCATGGAAGTAGGATCATTCAGACAAGGATGAGCGCTGTCAGCAAACACAAGCATATTTGCACACGCAAGATAACACATACTAGGAATCAAGCTCGAGCGACAATAAGAAGATCAAACAGATTAGAAGTTGAACATTCTGAGAAGGGCGCAAACAACTGTAACACTATAGGCGCAAAACGTTTGCTCTTCTGTTGCTCTTTTCTAACATTCAAATTTCCAAAACGTCACCCGTCTGTCAGCTGTGCTCTACTGTATATTCAATGGAGCACAGCGTGGAAGATACAGAGCAATAATGGGAGCAAGCAAGGATGGGGCTAGGTTTGTTGGGTGTAGTAGTTGAGTTAGAATCACCTAGTCTGCTTATACACCGCACACAATGCTTTGTTTGGATCCACACAATGCACCGTACATGATCAGAATTAGGGATGAGCAAAACCGGGTAACTACCGACCCGACCCGGTTTTGCCATACCCGACCTCGGGTTAAGTATTTTCGGGTCGGGTCCGGGTCGGGTATTACACCCAGTACCAATACCCGGACCCGGCCTTAGAAGGCGGGTAGTATAATACCCGCCTACCACGTTCGGGTATACCCGACCCGGTATAGGGTAAAAGCGGGTATTGCTACCCGCCATGAAAAATAAACCTAAACGAGCACTGTTTTTCTCTACAATGCCTTCCGATGTTCGTCTATCTCACACCGAGGTGTGTGTTAATAGCGTGGTCCAAGGAAAAATCCAAAACCGGGTTTTGGTGCGTTTTAAACCACCTTGTGACGACGGGGGTTGTATGGTGGGATATGGAGTGCGCTACTAAGCATCAACAATGAACCTACTTAGGTTTCATGTGTGCAAGCCATTCAAGTGCAGGTCACAATCAACAAACACAGAGGGAACCATGTCTGCATGGCCCTATAGCTCAATGCTGGGTCCGAGCATGGCACAACGACTAGAAGGTATACGATAGGCACAGGTGTTGTATCCTGGACCCACTCCTCACAACCCCTCATCGTCACCCTCAAGGCACAGCTCCCCCATGGCCCTATCCAGCGACGCCACCGGGAGGCTGCCATCGGTGCTCTGTGCCATCCATGACTTGAGAGTCATGGATGCACGCACCTGGGCAGGGCTCAGGCGGTGGCGCTGCCAGGTGACGACGTTCCGCCCCTGGCTGAACGCCCGCTCACTCGGTGCCGAGGTTGCAAGGATTGCAAGGTAGTCTCTTGCCATCGCCTGCAGCCCTGGCAGAGAAGAGCGGCTGCGCCACCAGGTGAGCGGACACGCGTCCATGTCCAGACGCGTCTCCTGGACCTGTCGACCTCGTCCGGAGCGGTCACCCCCCCTCTCGCCTCCGCCTCTGCCATCGCCGAGCCCAGCATGTCAAACAAGCGCCCCCCTCCCTGCCCCCCTCCCCGTCCCCCTCCCCGTCCCCCTGCGTCGGGCTGGACCAGATGTCCGTCGTGAGGGACACCTTCCCCCCCGCCCCGTCCCCAACAATCTCCTGCAGCTGGCGCTCGCGAGCGGCGTCGCCCTGCAGGAGCATTTCGCGAGCAAGACGACATCAGGAGCCTAGGAGCTCTGCGGCGTGTGGATTTAGGAGGCGCGTGTAGCGGCGAAACTGTGGACGGAGGGGGGAGGGGGGGGAGAGGAGGACACATGCAAAACAAAGGCCACATTGTGTGGTTGGGCAAGGCTATAAGACACGGACGGGAGAAAACGTACGCACGGAGGTCAAGGCGCCACTGCATGCAAATGTGGACTAGAAGTCCTTACCGAGGGTTGGTCGACCAGGCGGAAAGGCAGGTCCGCGTCTGCGAAGAGCTCGACAAGAGCGTGGCGCAGACGCTCCTGCGTGACGCGACGGCCGAAGAGCTGCGGGATATGCCGCTGGCCCACCTCCACACCTCCACACCCCCACCCACGTCGGCGTGCCACCGTCCGCATGACCCCCCTCCCCCTCGCCCTCATCATCCCCCGAGCCCGCTGCATCCCCACCGGCCGCCACCTCCCCCGCACCACTCATGCCCCCGCTGCCATCGCCGCCCTCCCCCGGCCACGTCCACCACGGCCCCTTCCCCTTCCCCTCCCCCTCCCCCTTCCCCTTCTTCTTCCCCTCCCCCTCCCCTTCACTTGTTGCGACCATCCCCCGACATCTCATTCCCTTCCTCCGCATCGGGCTGCCACTCCTGGTCGTCGTCTCCTCCTCCCCCCTTTGCACCATCCCCGCCACCGTTTCCCCCCCCACGGCTTGCCCCCCCTCTCCTCGCCTGCATCGTCCCCGTCCACCTCTTCCACAAAGTCATCCTCATCTCCCTCATCCGCACGGACACCACTTCCCAGAGCAAAGTTCTGGCGGCCGCTAGGGAGAGGGAGGCCAGTGAGAGATGCTCCAGGAAGGGCACCGCTCTGAAACCCTAAACCCTCCTCTCTAACGCCTCTGAAAGGGACAGGACTCCCGTAACGGTCGTAAAACTGCATGACGCCGTATTTCCTAACCCAAAACTAGGGGCTGGAACGGGGAATCCGTGGGGGAGAGTATCCCTAAACCCTAGATCAACGTCCACCCTCAACCATAAGTCGAAAACCTAATGAATGGGGTGCGGGGAAATGTGTTGCTGGAGAGGGTGCGATTGGGAGGTGGAGCATGGCCGGGAATGGTAGTCGAAACTAGATCTGGGGATTTGGGCTGGAAGTTTCGACCAAATAGTCGAAATTTCCAACCCAACCAGATTTTGGTCACGCTGCTGCCGACGGGGAGCAGCACGACCCGAATTCGGGTCGGGTATACCCGACCCAACGGGTACCCGCTACCCGCCCTGTCGGGTCCCGTTTCGGGTAACGGGTATGGAATACCTGCCCGGGTAACCCGGACCCGACCCGTCGGGTAATATTCCAGGATTTAGATACCCGACCCATAGGCATGAGCAATGAGGCGAGGATTTCCTCGCCTCGAAATCCCGGGGGTCGAGGTGGGATTTCTGGGAAAAATCCTCGCGAGGAATCCTCGCCCTGCCCCGCCGAGGATTCGAGGACTCGACAATTCCTCGGCACTCTAGGGGCGAGGATTTTTTCCTTGCGAGGACTTTTTCCTCGCGTCACTTTTGTGTAGGCTTGAGCCACGGGTTGGGTCGGGTCGGGTAACCCGACCCGAACCCGACTTTTTGACGGGTCGGGTCAGGTTTCCCGTAGGCAGAACCCGACCCGTCGGGTTTGATTTTTACCCGTCGGGTCGGGTCAACCCGAACCCGACATGTACGGGTTCGGGTGAACCCGACCTGTCGGGTTGACCCGACCCAACTTCCGGTATACATCGTTGGGTTGACCCGACCCGACCTGACCCGAACTTGGGTCGTGCCTTGAACCGACACGATCTGCGCGACCAGAGTTGCACAGATCTGGAAAGTCTGATTATTTGGTTGAATTTTCGACCGAATGGGTCATTTCCCAGATTCTACTCAGGCTACCTCCCATTTCTACCCTGCATCCAGCTCATTCCTACCACTTATCTCCTCCCCACCATGCTTATTAGTACAGCTTAGGGTCTAGGCAGATCCAGATCGATTTCGATTGGATCGACTCAACCAACACACCTATTCAACATACAACCTCGACACCCCCAACTAGGCATGAGCAACGAGGCGAGGATTTCCTCGCCTCGGAAATCCTCGCCTCGAAATTCCGGGGGTCGAGGCAGGATTTCTGGGAAAAATCCTCGCGAGGAATCCTCGCCCCGCCCCGGCGAGGATTCGAGGCCTCGACTTTTCCTCGAGGCAAATGGGCGAGGATTTTGTATCCTCGCGAGGAAAACCTGGATAAGGCTCATTCTTCCCGAACATGTTCCCATTTCCCCCCCCCCCCCCAAACCCCCAGCCGCCCAGGTCAAGGAATCCTCGCCCCGGGTCAAGGAATTAATCCTCGAGGCGAGGAATTCAATCCTCGACCCCAAAACCCGGGGGTCGAGGGGGGATTTTCAAGAAAAATCCTCGGCGAGGATTCCTCGACCCGCCCCGGCTATGGCGCGAGGATGAGATCCTCGGGTCAAGGAATCCTCGCCTCGCCCCGTGCTCATGCCTACCCCCAACCCATCTGAATTTCGCGAACACCCCCAACCTATCCGAATTTCGCCAACACCCCCAATCCATCCGAATTTCGCCAACACCCCAACCCATCCGAATTTCGCCAACACCCCAACCCATCCGAATTTCGCCAACACCCCCAACCCATCCGAATTTCGCCAACACCCCCAACCCATCCGAGCTTCGCCAACACCCCCACCCACCCACCCATCCGAATTTCGCCAACACCCCCAACTAGACATGAGCAAAACCGGGTAATAACCCGACCCGACCCGGTTTTGCTCTACCCGCAATCGGGTCCGGGTCGGGTCGGGTCGGGTAATTTCCGGGTAATGTTTGGAGGTCTGTTACCCGATCCGACATTTTAATACCGGGTAATTGGGTACCCGTCTGTCGGGTCGGGTATACCCGACCCGCATTTAATTGAAGTCGGGTAATATTACCCGGGTACCCCTAGGTGGCTGTAAAATTCAGCAAACACAGAGTAACAAACCCAAAAACGGGTCGCGTACCTGCGACCCGACGGGTAATAAATTACCCGACATTTCGAGTAATTCTCGGGTAACAGGTATGCATTACCCGGCCCGAGTACCCGACCCGACCCGGCCGGGTAATTCGACAAAATCCTATTACCCGACCCGGCCAAAATGTCGGGTCGGGTCGGGTACCCACGACCCGACCAGGTAAAATGCTCAAGTCTACCCCCAACCCATCCGAATTTTCGCAAACACCTCCAACCCATCCGAATTTTCGCCTGCACCCCTGACCCACCCTGTTTTCACCGACACCCTCAACCCACCCAAAATCTCGTGAACACCCCCAAACCAACCAAAAAAATCGCCAGCCATTTTCTCGCCAACACTCCCAACTA